AAACATACAAAAGAAATAGAGGAAATGACGATAGTAAGGACTAGGGAGAAAAAAAGCAGCAGTTTCCTGTTGCAGTTCAGGCACAGTTATGAGCATGACATTGATGAATCAGCCCATTTACAATTCTACTGAGCATAAGAACATGTTAATGTCCCCCCTTTGGAAATGGCCTAAAGACACTTCAGTCAGTAGCACCGCCGCGGGGGGTGGGACAGTCCTTGGAAATTTTAGAAAATTGGCAAGCCTGATATAATGTATTTATTAAAGAACGTTCTGTAACTCTGAGCAAAATACCATTTCTTCCCTTCAAATGAACAACATTCAATATGAACCAACACTACAAGACACCAAGCAGGAAAAAAAAATTTTCTAGGGGAAATAATATCATGTTGAATTAAAATAGAGGCATAAGTAAGAGCAGTGAATAAACTTTGAAGGACGGGATACAACAGAGAAAACAGGGCATGCTGCTGCAATCTTGGATGCCATTAACATGTGAAAATAAGGCATCTTTGCACATTTTACTTGAACAGAGAAAACCAAACAATAAAAAGTGAACAGTAATCGGTTGCCAATTCTAAATGAATTGTGCTCAAAAGTTCTCGTCATGAAAATAAGTCCATAAGCAAATCAAAGCAGCTAATAATGTAGCCCAAAACTTACGTCAGTAACTGCCTGTCTCATGACATCTATGTTCTTGGCGGGATTTTCACCAGTCTCATAAAACTTCAGCCGATCCTCCACCTGCTGCTTCAGATGTTCTCCAATGACAGAAGTGGGAATTTCTGAGAAAACAATGGTGGAGACAATAAGGTAGGGAAAGCACAGGCTGCAGAACCTCATACATGTAAAATTCATCCCACATTCAATGCAAACATGTTCATAAAATAAAATACCGTAGCCTATTAACATGTTTGGTTATGTCTCTGACCTTTATGCTTGGCTATAATTTTGATCACTGAAGAAAGCAAGAACACCGTTAAAAGTACACCTCTTACTTTTTATTTCTGCACTATTTTTCCACAATTTGGCATTCATATGACGACCCAGGGTGACGAGCACCGATTTTTTTTTTACCATTGTCATAAGCACAATAACGCACGAGACAGATATATGTCACTTCCATAGTTACCATTTTCATTCATGTACATAAGCTATGAATGAAAACGGCATATGCATTTACCAAAACACTCAATGCAGTACACTGGCCTTTACAAGGTAGGCGAGTAGAGGAATGTCATTTTTTTTTGTAACCCCGGGGTTGTATTTTTCACATTTTAGAATACTTCCAGTACGAAGATCTCTTTGAAACTTTCAGTATTTCTCAAAAAATCATTTTGACAGACTGCTATGCAAAGCGTACAGATAGGAATAATGAATAAATTTTCTCTTTTGAAAGTGGTGGTGATAGTAAAACATGAAGTACAGATCGGGTTAATAATAAAAAGGGACAGTTTCTATTCATTGCATGAATAAAAAAACAACAACTTTTAATGTAAAATTTTTTTTTAAAAACCCACAAAAAAGAGTGGCTTTTTGTGTTTCTTTTGTTCCAGTGACAAGCACATGCGTCGCAACGCTGTGGAATCAGGCGTTCGTCAATTTTTGGTCATATGCAGTTATTGGCATCGCGCTAAACCATGTTCATTTATCTTGCTTTTGAGGAAAGAAAGATGAATTTTTATCTTGAACAGTATTCGAGATATTTGTGATTGGAGGAGGGGGGTTGCCTGGTTTTTTAGATAAAGTATAAGCAAGAAAATGGCCGCCAAAGTTTGGTGACGTCCATAGATTAAGACTGAGAGTCCTTAGAACGTGAACATTTACAATTTACATTTTTTGTGCTTTTCATCAACGAATTTCAATATAATCTACACAGAAATGTGTTTTTTTAAATGGACATTAAAAGTATTGAGCTAGAATACAAAAATTCTATTTAAAAATGCCAAACCGACGGGAAAATGCCGTTTCTTCGAATTCACTATTTTGACAAGAGCCTGGTTCCAACCATATGTGATGCAGCATGGTGAAATCAGGCGCTCGTCAAAATAATGAAATTGAGACACTGGCACATGTCGTAGGTATGGCAATTCTTATCAAATTTTTGTTTTTGGCTCCAACACCTATTATGTCCGGAACACATTTGATTGGATTTTACTCAAAAACATTGATTAAAGGTTAAAATAAAAAGAAGAGCGCCAGACACCACGTCTTGACACGTTATCTTATGCTTGCTTTTATGTTGTTGTTAGCGATCCAGATGCTTGCTTTTATATGTGTAGTAATTTTGCTGCTGCTGCTGCCGCAACCAATAAGTGAAAGAAGTGACCTCCTTTTATCGTTCAGCAAACTGTGTCGATCTTCAGTATCAGGCTACAAACAGTCTCATCAGCAGTGAATGAGGAGCTCATGAGCTTTCCAACTATATCTCAAACCTAGCATTTGTTTATGTCAGTGACAAGGAAAATTTCTGCATTTCCTTAAGAGCACAAAATGCTTTAAATAAAAAGACATTTTAAAAATCTAGTCTACTAGACTGGAATAATTCATTTCATCCTACAATACACAGAAAATTTGGTTTCAAGTACTTACTCAAAACATTACCTACACTCAGGAGTCAGATACTATTTTAAAAAAGCAGCTTCCATCTATAGAAACACTAAATACACAGACAATGGGTACATACCTGAAAAGTTGTCAATCCTGGAGGCAATAGAACACTTATTTGCCAGGTACCTTGAGATGCGGCCTTTGTTCTTAGCACCTGCCCGGCCAATGAAGGTTGAGTGAAAAATCAACCCATACTTTGGTGTGTTCCCTCGAGTTTTCAGCGCCCTGAAAATTATTTCAAAATAATGGTGAATCACACAGAAAAATAAACTAGACTCAGAGTCAGAGAGTTGCAAAAGTAGCAAATAAGGAGACAATTCACTTTTACTGAACATAAAAACAGCAACGTAGCAATGCCAATGAAAATTTAATTTTTCACTTTTGCCCCTTTTTTTGGTACCTAAGAAAGAATTTTCAATTCTAAGAATTATGCTTCTTGAATTTTGAGAATTGGTTCATAAATAAAAAAAGTTATGGGCTTGTAAAGATCGGCAAAATATGGATGACCCACATATAGGAAAATACTCCTAAAAAGTGGACCACGCAGTAGCAAATTCTGTAAGAAAATCGATGATATCTCGGTAACTAATCGGAGTGTTCGAGAGAAACTTGGCTACCCGATGTGTCTTTGAGTGTAGAAATCATTTCTGCAGTCAGATTTACTATCAATTTCGTAGTTATTTCGTTATAATTAAAATTGTGGTGTACATATTACGATTTTGCGAAAAAGGGGTGTCGGGATGAGTCCATTTTATTTATAGCATCGTATCACAACATGGGATCTTTAAGAATATATGTCGGCAGCGTGACTAAATAATTGCAAAGCTTTTTATGATGACTTTAGACCATGCCAACCGTAAAAGATAAGTTAATTCAATCTAGTATGCCGTACAATTAAAAATTCTTTTTCCCCGTTGAGACGCGAACACCTCGAGACGAGATACCTCGCCTCGGAATACCCCCATTGCGATGTTACAGGGGAATAGAGAGAAAAACAACAGGATGCGCGCGCCCGCCATTGCCCTATTTCAAGTGACCAATGAACGGGCCCGGAATAGTCATGCTAGACCTGCATGTGAGCCTCAACCAGATTGTCTGAAAATTTTGCGCAACCCCCCCCCCCAAGAGCTTTTGTGGGTGTCATAAGGAAGGACTTTCGAGTAACGAGCGACCACCTCAACAAACACAACAAAGAAGAGACCTAACCCTACCCCAAAAAAGAACCTGCAACGAGCCTCATGTGAAAAGGCCAGCAAAATTCCAAAATGAAACAAAAAATTTTAATTAAAAACCACACTCCAAAACAAACATGGCTTACAAGGAGCATATAATATAATGGCCTACATCTACATATTGCTAGATCTATAATAATAGGGTTTGATACAATAACACAATAGAATTGGAATATGAATCCTCCATATATATATATATATATATATATATCTAGTAAACTAAATAAATCTAGATCTAGATATATCTAGTCTAGATCTAGATGTTGTAGAACAAGTGAATAGGATCTAGGAATAGGCCTTGAACTAGAAATCTGCATCCAATTCCGAACAGAGGGGCTCAGCTGAGTCTAGATTCTAAATAAATAAATAATTCACGCACCTGACGAAATGCTTTTTACCAACATTAATATTACAGCACAACCTATGACTATGATAGGGTTTGACAAAATAGAATTGGAATATGAATCCTCCATTGAGGTCTATAATGATCTATATAAATCTAGATCTAGATTCTATTATCTAAGTGAGTCGGACTGGAATGAATCCACACGACCTGAACAATTGAATTTGTCAACAAAACGAAATTCAAAATGGCCGCTCGAGCACGAAACTGAAAGTAGATAATTTAGGTCGTCGTCCTTTTCGTATTCGCATTTCTATTCAGGTTCCGACAATTATGTCGGAAACGCCGACGTCGGCAGTCGGCACGAAAACGAAAGTGCCGACAAAGCCGACGGAAAAAAAGGGGGCGCTGGCAGTCGGCCAGGCCTCGCACTTCGACTGATACAGGTGGGCCTAGCGATAGCATCGGCCGGTTCGTGATTGTCGGATTACAGACGATTGTCGGCAAACATGCAGGTCTATCATGCGGGGATTTGTAGGTCACATACATTTGCCACGAGAGAGGGGAAAATGGCCGGTCTCCGTGCGAAGCCGCTTTGGATAGGGGGGTAGTCGTGCATTAATGATTGGGTCTAAACAACTACTTGACACAGAACGTTCAAATTTGAGCACACTATAGAGGATAGATAGATCTATTACCATCTCGGCGTTGAAATTCAAACTCCCTATAGTTTTCGGTGTACACGATACAAAAGTGTTCCCGACACCAAAAGTACAGGTTAATTTATGTGTACGAACTTCAACGTCCACATATCATTAGTTTGCCCTATTTTCTGATTGGTTGCCGAGTTTCATTCGGATCAGTTAGGATTTAGAGCAGACCAAGGTTGACAAAGTTAGTCACCTACGCTTCGGCCGGGTCCACAAAATCGCCCGTAAACGGGGACCAAATTTTCGCCTCGCAGGAAAGCCCGATTGGCATTGCTAAGCAACGTTCTAAACACCTGTCACAGAAGCATGAAATAAAGGATGAGAATTAGACCTGAGTCTGACAGACAACAGAAATGTAATTGTTCATACATGTTCTCATATTCTGAAAATAAGAGAGGATAAACATTTAACCCTTTGAGCCCTGACCCCCTGAGGCTACCATGCCCCTCTGCCTGAGGTCCTGAGTAATATATTACTAACATTCATATGATCCTCAGAATAGCATTCCATATTTCAAACCAGGGTAGTCCTCATCATTACTAGCATCTAATTCAGAAATATCTTCAACATAATAACGTCTTGTGTAGTGAACAGGGTTTTTTGTGTGTGCATTAATTTGTCCCAGACAGGCCAGGTTGAGGATATGGTCTCGCTAACTGCTGTACCGGTGGCTAGGCACATGGGCAGTATCACGCGCCATTGGTTTTCCAGTGGCTACGGCTCAAGGGGTTAAAAGTAACTCCCTCCCCCATCAAAGCAGATAAAGAGTCAGTCTGAAAGCTTATAGACATCAGTGAAGTAGTACGTAATAAAAAAGACTAGTAACAAATTTGCCAAAACAAGCCAATCGAGTCCAAGGAAAACACCACAGATGGAAAGTTAGCTTCAAATGCTGATATATCATAAAACAACGATTCTAATTTTTATTTTATGGAAAGACACATAGGTGAATTCTTAACAATTAAAACAACCCCCTCGAACCTTACAGTAAAGATTCTTTTATAATGTATTTCAAAGCAAACATTGGAAAAATCTCTTGGTGACCTACCTGAACAAAGCTTTCTCAGCTCCTAGGATTTGCACAGTGGATGCAGGATACTTGGCTAGATTGGTCAGACTCCCAGCGTGTGAAATCAGTCGAGCACCAACCTGTAAGCAAATAACCTTTATCACTAAACTGCCTGTACATACATTGGGAGGGGATACTACTTAGGAACTAAATGAACAACATCACCAACAAATTCTCACTGTTTCTTTATAATATGAACAGAGGACACCAACCAGGCACCATTATATAAGAAAACCAGGTATTGCATATATGAATGTGGAGGATATTGGTAGGATTAAGGTGAGCAATGCTCTGTACCCACTTCAATCATATAAGGAAGCTTTTAATATTAACAACTCAAACAGCCCAACAAATACACTGCCATTTCAATGAGATGGTCTCTTATCTTCCTTGATCTTTTAACAGTTTAGTCCAACAGAATGTACAATCCAATGGACAGTGCTTCCAACGAAATAAGTAATAAATAAATTTAATGCTGAGGGTTGGGGGGAGCATCAGGAGCCCATTAGGGATTCAGAGCGAAAACCGTGTTTGAAATTGAAATTTGGTGATGTAATACCGATTTTTTTCATCCAGAGTATAAAATTATCTTATTTTGACATCAACACAATATCTTTCTCTTGCTGACAATGTTTACAAGTTCATCTTTTCATTTCCACCATTTAGAAGTATGCAAATCTAGAAACATCAATCTTGATGATACAGTCACCCAGGGTATACCCTTATTTTCCTCCACATTCATGTTTGAATGTCAAAACCTTAGAGCACCACTTCCACTCATTCTTGATTTTAACACCAATTTCTTCCACTCAGGCCTTTAGCTCTCCTCATAATGACAATTTCTCCAGATGAAGACAAATCTTTAAAAAATTTCATCTTGATAACAATTTTTTAAATAAAATATCAGTTCAGTTTTCTTCATCAAAGCACACTTTGCAGCCACAGCAAAGATGGGAAGATCCACAAAAAAGATGAGAGAATAAAAGAAAGGAGCAAATTGGCACAAAAATGTGCAGTAATGACCAGCCAGATTTTGACCACTTTGCAGATGAAAATGTACATAGACCAAAGATCGATGCACTGAGAGACAATGGACAAGTACAAGAACTGCAGTCTGGCAAGTTTCTGTTTCAACTTGTTGCCAGAAGTTACTATGAACACCTAAACTTATCTAAGGAGACACAGAGGCAAGTATGGACACTTTGCTACCAAAATCCAGTGGGCCTACACTATCCTTTTTCGTCTGTTTTTGAAAGCGTTTTATGGCATTTGCAACACAGTATAGTCATATAAGTGCCGAAGATTAGAGATGTTACAAGAGAGTAACAAACATGAAAAAGAAGAAGGGGAGATAACGACGATAGATGTTTGATAGGAAAGAAGAAGCAAATGATACCAGAGCACCCGCCAACCACCCATGTACTGCACCATCCCAAAGTTTTACGGAAGAAATTGATACAATGAAGCGGCAAGTAGAGAATACTGTAAGTACTAGTTTCCTAAAAATAGTATGAAATGTCTTGGAAAATAAAAAAAAGAAGAAAACTCCACCTGTTCTCCAATAAGGGCAGCTAAATTTGGAGCAACACTCTGCATCTTACTGTGCAGATATTCAGCCAGTGTCTTGCGATAGTCAGTCAGACTAATCACTCGTCTGGCAAACATCTGGATGTTGATCAAGTCAATTGTACCAATGTCAATTCCTGCGATAAGACCAAATGCAACAGCATTAAATTTAACACCAAAGTCATAGTCATTGAATTCTAGGGGAAATAGAACATGAAGAATACGAAGAAAATGTTTTATAAAACCTAGTTGGCCTTTCAAAAATGTGCACCGGTAACAAATTATGAACATAAAAAAAGTATTGTAATTCTAACAGAAATGTCAAATCACCATAGCGGTCCATGTTGAATAGGGTTACTTTTCTATCACAGATTGCAGGTGCTACATAAAAAAACATATAGAGAATAATAACACATATGGCTAGTGAGGTTTAAACTGTAAAACATTTCCAAAATCATCAAGGGACTGACAAACAAGAAGTAACTCCTCTTAAAATATTAAGAAAATAAAATTGTAAAAAATGCCAAGCTGCTTCAACCTCAAACATACTCTAACAAATAAAAGGCATGAACGTACCCATTGATGACTTTGCTGCCTCAAATATGGCTTTTACTTTTGCGCTATCCATAACTACTTCTTCAACTTGTTCTTCCATGTCTGAAGTTAGTTTGGCACGATCCCCAATAAGTGTGGTCAGTTTTGCAAACATGTAGTTGTCATTGACAATCTTCACCAGCTCTGGAAAATGATAAGAATACCATTCTCTGCAAGAAAAAAACACACAAAAAAACATGATAACGTTGCATAGCAATATAAAATAAACTTTCTCATCTTCATGTCAGTAAATTGATGGTATACTGAAACAGACACTTAACTCTTAATGGTAATAATCATGAAATTAAAAAGCTTGGAACAAGAAAAAACACAACAGCTGCATAGAGGAACATATTGAAGCAGAAATACTCATAAAGTTCCAGTACTCTTAAGAGTATGGTTTGTCTACAAAAAGAGCCTATAAACATATAACAGAACCTGTTAAAAATAATGCCACAAAACATCTCCCTGAACATAAATAACCCTGCTTATGTCCACAATAATACAAATAACATCAAGAGACATTCTGGAAGACAATTCTACATCAAAACACACATTTTGACATACCTGATTCTCATGGAAAAAGTGTTAATGTCTTTATCCAGTTGGTCCAGAAGACTGATGCTCTGAATAATCATGTTATCCACTCTGTTCACATTGAACTTGACCTTGTCTCTGGAGTAGCTGTGACCCAACCCAAGCTGAGCCTTTCCAGCAGTGGTCTCTGTCAGTGCCTTGATGAAGTGAGGGAAATGGGTACGAATGCCTGGAAAAAACAGAATGCCATGAAATTCTGACATTACAGCTGCTTTGACAAAAACTGAAAACAAACATTTTTTTAATTTTAATGTTAAGGATTGAGTCTATGCCATTAACCATTGACTGACAAATTCACACACTTCCCCCAAAGATAAATATCATTCCTTGCTTTGAAAGTAAGCTAAATAAATGTAAATTATCATCACAGGTCCTAAACTTTTCTCATTCGCAGTCATAAGCACAGCCATATATTAAAGTCATGCTGGTGCTTCAATGAAATGAGTATTTTATTTTGAAAAACAGTGCGAAATGAAGTAGATAGACTATAGGTCAAAGAAATACTGTAAGATTGAAAAAAAGTTGACCACTATGCATTTAAGCCAGCTTTTCTACAAACATATTTAGCTTGTCAGTTTAGCAACAGCCAACAAAACATCACAACAACACTGACAAAACCTTACCATTTTTATACAAATATGAAGCAACATTACAAACCTCGCATGAGCTCAACAACAACTCCAGTATGTTGACAAGAAATTCCTAGAGTATCAGCAATTGCTGACCCAATTTTGGAATCCCCAACTCCGAGGATGACCTGAACCTTCTTTTTCCCCTTGGGTACCTCTTTCTCCAGAAATGTCTGCAAATCTGGATGCATTTCTCCTGAAAAGTTTCAAAAGGGGGGAAAAAATGTAAAGAGTTGGGGAGGAGGTTTAAATTTGTGGTACCCACATATAAATTTCGGCAATTCAAAGTTAAAATAAGGGGGCTCTCGTAGTCAAGGTTACAGTGTTCGCCTCTAATTCATAGATCCCGGGTTTAACCCGGAAAGCAACGAAAAATATTATATTCTTTCACTTCCTTTCCTGCTCTCTAACAATGTTCTGTCTCCTCCACTTTCTGCCCCCCCCCC